TTGCTAATAATTTTAAAAGGTGCTCATACTACCTGAAATGCATTTATGGATTCTTCCCATGACTCCAGATTAAGAAAACCCACATAATTGGGAGAATACCTGTAATCCCAGAGGCTCAAGAGGCTGAGGCAGGAGGACTGCAAATTCAGCAACTGAGCAAAGCTCTAGGCTACTTAGCAAGATTCTGTCTCTAAATAAAACATAAAAATGCAGTTCAAAGGTTAAGTGTCTCTGAGTTCAGTCTGCAATACCAACCAACCAACAAACAAAAAACCCACTATAAAAAGATGTACTACTTTTTCTCATTGTCTAATTTGAAAATACATTATTCTTACTAGATATTTTTGAAACTCACAGCTAAGGTTGTTGTCTAGCAAACAGCATTGTTATTAACAAAGAAAAACTAGGTACAGATTCATGGCCTGCAGTGGGTGAGAGGGTAGAGGGGCGGGGGGAGGGAGAGGATATTAGTGCAAGAATGCTCAGTGATTAGGTTAATGCAGCTACTCTTTTACTCAGGGTACTACAGACAGAGATTGGTGAACAAGTCCTTGGAACATGCAAATTAGCATCTATGACTGTTTCTACTCCATATGCTGTCTAAACAGGAGTTACGATGTTTGTTGGATGAGATAGTTTAAGTGGAAAACCACATAATACATTTCAAATTCTTTTGGAAAAATAATCCGTAGATGTCCTAGCATTTTAGCAGAAGACTAAGTCTTTGAGAATTATTCATGGATTCTATAAGTAGTATTTGTCTAGAAGGATATTGATGGTAAAGATATATTGATTTAATGCACCTAATTTTTTGTGTTTATATGGAAGTCTATTTAATAGGATTACAGTTCATCTTTCCTATTCCACATTTGTTATTACCATTTTCTATGTTGCTTGGCCTTGAGAGCAAGATGGAGTACACAGGAATATAGATGAGGGTCTCACAGGAGTAGAGCTGAGTGTTTTTTACCCAATCATGAATGGGTAAAAGGTGGTTTATCTTCACTATTCAAAGGGAAAAAGGGGTGATCTGACATTGGCTCCAGCTGGTTTACTTGGGAAAGTGAAAATTTTGTCCCATCAAAGGCAAAACTTATACAGGTGAACTCAGAAGTGAAAAAGAAGAGGAGGAAAGAGTAGAATGCTTTAAATTGAAGTTTGACTTGCCTACTATCAAGTGTGTACACCATTTAGTAACAGATTTTTCTAAAAGTGTGCAAATAATTTCATTGGCAACTGAAAGAAATGAATTAAATCAGCAAGGAATGGTTTATTATCTAACACAGGAAATACTACAAAAAATAGTTTTGACAAGGTTGAGATGAAAATGGTACACATGATCTGCATACGAGATAATGAGAGTTAATACAACARTTTTGGATAGCAATTTGGCTGCTTGTGACAACTTATTCACATTCTTGGATTCATTTCTGGAATTTACTTTAAACTAGTAACTTGAAGAACAAAAATTGTTTATTATGTTATTGTTTATAATGTTAAAAAAGAAATACAGTTAATGTACAATGCTAGAAGAATGTTTAATTACAGAATTATGAAATATCAAATACTTAATGGATGCAAATAGAAAAGTGTCAACAACTGTAACAATGTGGAAAATATTTTTTTTTTAGATTTGGAATATGTCTATTTAGATATTTTTCTTAAATAGCATATTTATAATTTATTGAAAAATAGAGAAAATTTTCCAACCAAAAGTAAAGGAGAAAGAAAAGTAATTTTGATAAAAGAGAGGAAATCTCAGCAGTGCATGTACTTCTTCTGTAGCATAGGTACCTGGGGAATATCTGTTCCTAGGGACAAAGCCAGTAAGACCATAGGAAAATGAAAAGCAGTTTGTACTCTTCATTTCCATGTGTCTGAAATTTAGATATCTGTAATCACCATCATTTTGTTTGATAATGAAGACTTTAAATGGTCTTCTAGTTTCATGCTCTTATGAATTTTGTGTGTTAAATATTGAATTAATTAGAAATTTAGTTATGGGATAGGAAGCATATTTTCATTCCCAGTGGAGAGCTGTTGTACCCAAACCATTTATTAAGTAGACCATTCTTAACCCACTGATTTGAAATGCCACCTTGATTATGTAATTTCCATGGGCACATGTGTCTGTCTCTGCACTCTACTTTGGGATCTGTCTCTACATACTGTTCACTTTACCTGGGTTTTATTCTATATTTTGCTATGTCATAGGGCAAGCTTTGAGCTCTTCATTCACCGCCTAAATATTATTCTATCTCAAACTTTTCTTTCTATTCTTATGTATTTACTCTTCCAAATAAACTTTAAAACAAGCTTATTCTGGAGTTTTGATTTTGATTGGTGCACATTACATTTATAAATTAATTTTAGAGATGATTTTTCTTAGTATGTCTCTTCTTGTGTCTAGAAGTTTCAGTGAAGTATTTCAGAGATTGCATTTAGAATGTAATTGATAGAAAGGTGATAACACATCTCGGTTACCTCTGTTCAGATATGGAGTGATTCTGATGTTGATGCTAACAAATTAGGAAAGTTTGTCATTTTCAATTGCCCAAAGCAAAGAATGCAATTGAATCCAGATGGGAAAGTGAAAGAGGTACCCTGGAATCTGTAAGTTGGAATTTGTCTTTATCATGTATGAAACAAGTGGTCTTTTAAGAAGAGAAGCTGATTTTCAGGGGCCACCGTGATTAGAAAGACCCCAGTTTTAGCCAAAATCTGGTACCTGTGGCTGATTATTCACACTGCTCTGATTGCTCAGCATATTCTTTCCGTGTTCCTGAGATCCTCCAGGGAGCTTCATGTACAGTCCACCTTCTACAAGCCATATGAATGGCCTTTCCTGAATGTAGATGTTCTTGTTCTACCATCTTCATGTTTTCTTTCTCTGGCTTCCTCTCCTGACTCCCTTTCTATCTCATGGGCTACCTCTATTGGTTTCTGTATCATCTCCTTTCCTTCCCCTCCCATAGTATCTTTGTCTTTCTGGTGTCCTTGTGATTATTAAAAAGGGACTCCTTTTATTGCTGATATCGGACTTAGTGCTAGGACTTGTGGGCATCTCTCTTTAATGGGCCTGTCTCACTTCTGACATGAGTGTTATTTATCTTCTTTTCTGACATAAGCATGATGAGGTTCTTGAAAGAGGGCTACCATGAAGTGCAAGACCATACTGTTAGGGGACATACTGCATTAGAAAAGGGTTATAATTAAATGCTTTGCTAAGTGGTAGTCCTTGTTCACCCAACCAAGCAAAATAGTAATATGACCACTGTTTGGAATAGATGTAGATTAGATATTCTTGTGATCTGAGAAAATCTTTGATCTATTTATACAATCTATTTTCTATTTWAAAAAAAAAGAACATGAAGAGGTCAGGTCAGATTCTGTCCATGGATTACTAACAATCCCTTTAGTAACCAAGAACATGACTATAGCAATTTGTTCTTCCTTTTTTAGGAAATGGAATTTCATCTCAGTTTCCTGTCGCTCATGTTAGATATTTGTTATTGTTTTTTTTTCCTTTTCAGATCTCCTTCCTGAACTTTTTTTTGAAGCTATTGTGTGATAGACTTTTCTTGTTGTGTTACTTTCTTTCACTTGTGTTTGTGCATGCATGCCCTATGCAGACAAAAGACAATTCAAAATTGTGAACTGGTGATGTTTTTTTTTTTTCAGAACTCCACAATTGGTGTTCACCCCAAGTTATAATTTCAGATAACTTTATGTATGTTGGATGGATTCAAACCACTATGAAAACATATCTTTTTTTATTTAAAAAAATTTTAGATTAAATAACAGTGTGGCAACTGAAAGGAGGAGCCCTGCACAAATCTTGCTTTTGTTCCTGATTCACCTGATTCTTAGCATCCTACAGTGTCATGCTGTTATATAGACTGTCAGTCTGATACCCATCAAAGGCAAACAGATGTCCAGGAGACTGCATAGGTGTTTCTCTGCTCAGTTTTCTTTCCTGTCTCAGGGTGAGAATCTTCTGGAGGATGGGTTTGGTTTGCTGTGGTTGAGCACACAGAAGCCCAGATGCTTCTCCACACTGGGCGAGCTCTGGAGGCCCTCCAAGGTGGGCGACCTTTCCAGCCCCCACTTTCCACTTCCTTGCCACTCCCACGGGCTGGGCGGAATGCTCCCTCTCCCTGGAGGCCCCACTCCACACTGCTTTTTTGTGTTTGGGGTAGGGAGTGTTATGAATCCTTCTAAGTCTCCTGGGATGATCTGGTGGGCTTGTCCATCACTGCATCCCACCGGGGCACAGCTCTGCTGATTTAGCACCATGCCCAAAGCCACTGCAGGATCATATACTCAAGACTGCTAGCTGCCACCTCAGTTCCTTTGGACACTTGTCCTCAGATTGTGCCTCCATGGGACAGGGTGCTTTGCAGGCTTTGTGCCAACCAGGAGCTCTTGAGAGAAACTGTAAGGCCAGGTTGGTTGAGAAAGGGGACTTGGAAATCCCTTCGAGAAGATAAATAGCAAATGGAACTGGCATATCAAGTGTGGGAGCCAGTTGTCCTGTTTGTTTGGCAACGTTCGTGAACATTGAAGGTTCTTGCCACCGACAAGGCAAAGCCAGGGCTAATGATAATGATCATGAACCTTTGTACTAATAGTGGCATTTCAGGTACAGGATGAAAATTAATACAAGCAATGATGTTTGGCAGGTAAGAGTTCCAAGTAAAAGACAATGAAATATCACATTCCCACATCTAGTAAATTAAAAAAAAATTCTTCCCTATGTCCTGAACTTCTTTAACTTTCCTGAACAGACCAGCTCTTACCCCCATTCCAAATATAACAGGAAGCATCTTCCCCAATGTCACAAAATATTGTTGTTGGAAAGGTGGATTCATGATATTTGAGCTTACTCACACGAAGTGAATATAACAAATGACAATGTTTTGGATGTGCGCCCTTTTGTTGTGGTTTCTTAGAGCCAGGACCAGGAAGTGTAATGATGCCCCAACTTATTTATCTTTCAGGGGCAGATGACAGTCTATGCAAAGTTTGGCAAAAATGTTTATCTTCCCGAAGATGCTGAGTTTTACTTTATTTATGATGGATCTCATCAGAGACACATTGTGATCGCAGAGCGCATCGAGGATAACATTCTCCAATCCAGAATTCCAGGTGAGCGGCCTCTTTGTTGCATGACTGGGAACTCTGTTAGCAGTCATCTTCCCTCCAGAGTTCTAGGCCGGGAGAAAACCAAAAGGGAAAGGAAAACAGTTCTCTGAGGCTGTGTGTGGGTGTGTACAGACGGGTACCATCAGGAAGAAAACTTGCACTGTGTTCTCTCTCATGGGAGGTTTTTCCTGCTTGTCTGCAGCTACATTTGGAGTCTTGACTTAGTCCTTGACTAACAGGCCCATCCTGCTGGCTGCACCATGCTCTTATGATTGGGTGTACTTTGGATGCAGCCAAACGGAGGAAACACTATACCTCAAGTATCACCTCCTCAAGTCCCAGGGTTCAATGCCAGGGTTGGCTCAGGAAGAACTGGCACTGATGAAGTCTGTTTTCAGCCTCCTTCCTCATTCCCCTTTGTCAGCCTGGCAGCTCCAGGTCCACCTCTCCCCTGCCTTGCTCCCTTTGCTGGCTGGGGTTCTGTATCCATTCAGAATTCTCCTCAATGATCTTAGGCTCCAGAACTTTCTCTCCCCACCATCAAAGTGTTCCCTTTTTGAAACCTGTTATTCTCCTTCAAATGCCCTGGTGACATGTGACAAGGTGATATACCTTGCATTAAGAGTAATATATTTTACATAATAAAAATTAAATTAATGTATCTTATTTATTTTATATAGAGTTAATCTGGTATTATGAACTAACAACCCTTATCAGATATATTTGTTTTGCATTTTCAATATGATGTAGCTTATGCATTTATCAAGCTTTAATCTAAAGGTAGAATTTAAATGTCATCACCTGCAGAACAGGTAATAGTTTTTTTTTTTTTCATTATTTTGCTGATTTTTTTTTCCTTAATCATGGGCCTTTTAGGCCCTCTCAAGTTGTAGCATATACATGATCTTCAATTTTTCTTATAGGTAAGATTGGCCTCATTCTTTTGATTGATTTATTATTTTTTTAGTTGTAGGTGGACACAATACCTTTATTTTACTTATTTATTTTTATGTGGTGCTGAAGATCAAACCCAGTGCCTCACATATGCTAGGCAAGTGCTCTACCACTGAGCTAAAGCCCCAGCCCCTGGCCTTATTCTTAAAGAAAATATGTTCCTAAGCACTTATGTAGTATATCAGCTGCATGTGGAACTAGGTTTTGTAGAGAATATGCAAACAACACAGATACAGTGAAAATTGTAGAGAAGTATGAATACTTTTCAATCCTGCCTGGTCTTAGTCATTGAAGACCATCTCTGCGACTGTGGGCAATATTAAGCACTTTCCTCTCTGGCCCCAGTAACCCTCGTCCTTACAAGAAAAAAAAAAATCAAACTTAATTAGTGGCACATAGTTACTTTGCCTGTTGGTCCTTTTTCTCTCTGTCTTTGTGCTCTGGCATTTACATTGATGTCTTTCTTACCTTTAGTTTCCTCCCTTTTTTCTTAGCTTTCTCTTTTATTAAGCCTCTTATAGAGAAAAAATAGAAATAATTAACAAAAATGCCCCTCCCAATATCAAAACCTTCCGTTTTGTCTTTTTCTTTGCTTACATGTAGGGGCAATTCTCCTTCCCCTCCTGTCTTAAAGAAAGTCTTTCTGATTATATTGTGGCCTCCTTAAAGTAAGGGTCCTTAACTTCATTTCAAGATTCCCTAGAAGTGAGCAGTCTTTATTTCTGATCCCTACATTTAGCTGGCTACAGGTTTATCAGGGTAACCTTCAGAAACATGGAAAATAGGTTTCTGTAGTATATATTGGATATTTGCAGTCTAGTGGCAGTGGGTACATTCTATACCTCCCCTTTTAAAGGGTTAGTGTGAGGCTGTAAGTAACTCTCTAGTAAACTTCAGATACTCTTGATCCTGGAGTCCTGGTAGAATAGCATCTGGGGAAAGCTTTGCAGAATAAGGCAGAGCCATTTGCTTGGGGACAGGAAGGCCTCATGGGCCAGTGGTAGCTGAATGGCTTGTGTGTCAGCTGTAATTATCATGGTTACAGTGGTTTGCTGCTGTTAATTCCTGGAAAATCTGCCAAAGTCAACAGAAAAATGTACTTGAGTAGGAGTTCACCAACTTTGGCAAAAGTTGAGAGTGAGGCAAAGAAGAAGAGTATAAGGAGGGGCTTGGTAACTACCCCTACCAGTATTAAGAGCTGAGAAGACAGTTATCAGAGGATCAGAGGAACTATTATCAGAAGTCAAGGGGAAGGCACTAAAGAACATACATATACTTTTGTTGAATATGTTCATATCAATATGTGCATGTGTTTTAGTATTCTTTTCTTGTTTTTTTTTTTTTTTGTACTGGGGATTAAACTCAGGGGGGCTTATCTACTGAGCCACATCCTCAGCCCTTTTTTGTGTTTTTAATTTAGAGTGATCTTGATGGCTGAGTTGCTTAGGGTCTTGCTAAATTGCTGAGGCTGGCTTTAAACTTGCAATTCTCCTTCCTTACCCTCCTGAGTCACTGGGATTACAGGTACACTACCACACTTGGACTGTTTAGTATTGTTAACCCTTCCCAACTCACATTCAAAGGAGTGCCATGGAATTAGGATGAATGTGTGTAATTCTGTGATGCTATCTTACAAAATTCTCACCTAAATAAATAGGTAAAAATATATGATGCTGGAGGAAATGTCAGAGAGGAAAAGAGCTGATGTAGCTGGATGTGTGCAGTTTAATGGGAGTGGGTACATTCAAGGTGGCAGACTTGAACTCAGGGGCTGTGGTGGAGATAAGAGGTGAAGACAGGCAAATAACTGTGCTTGGTCATGAGAGAGGAATAGACCCTAAGCTCATAAAAGAGAGCTTTAAAATCAGTAGTCACTAAAAGAAGACGGTGTCAGCTTTAACTTGACTGCCACACAGGTGTGGCAGTGTTTAAAGACTGGCGGGCCCTCTCCTCCGTTCTGCCTGTCCTCCTGCCAGTGCTGCTGAGCTAGCTTGAGGCCACTGGGAGAGTCTTCTGCAGACTTGGGCTGAGCTGTTCACTGTCTTGTCGTCCAGGCCACCGGCTTCAGGAGACGGTGACGGTGTCTGTGTGCCTCTGCTCAGAAGGCTACTCCCCGGTGACCATGGGCTCTGGCTCAGTGACCTACGTGGACAACATGGCCTGCAGGCTGGCCCGATTGCTGGTTACCCAGGCTGATCGCCTCACAGCCTGTAGCCACCAGAGCCTGCTCACCCCATTTGCCCTGACGGTGGCAGCACTACCTGCTTTGGATGAGGAGCTGGTACTGGCTCTGACCCAGCTGGAGCTACCTGCGGGTTGGACTGTGCTGGGAAGTTCTTCACTTGAAGGTGGGTCTTCCTCAGAAGATTCAGCTGTGCACACTTTATGTTAAATTGAGAATGTGTCTTATTTACATTAGTTGTCTGTCTTTCTGGGTGGGTTTTTGTGTCCATCTTTTTTTTTTGAGCCTTGCTCTGATGTGGCTGGGTTCCCTGAGGCCCTGAGCCACTCATCTCTGGGTGATTGATGTGGCTGTGTCCTCGGGGTTGTTGGGGAGGGGGAGGTGAGGGGGATGGGATGGGACTCAATGGGATGGGACTGTTTCTTTATGGCAGGTTCTTGAAGCCAGATGCTTTGGGTTGTGGCTCCACTTCCCTTGGCAGGTTTTCTTGCTGTGAAAAGAGGACATTGCTGACTTGTTTTCAAATAGAAAACAAGGAAAAAACAAAAACAAAAATACCTCCATGAAGGAGGGACACTAATGCCTTTAGAAGAAATGTGGTCATAAAAGAAATGTCATTGATGAGTTGACATCTTTAGACATGTCCGTGTCTCCAAGAACATTTGTACTATATTTGTACTCAACATTTTAATTGACATAATTGTTTCTATTTATGGGGTACAGTGTGGTAATTACATACATGGATACCAGGTATATTGACCAAATCAAGGTAATTAGCATTTCCATTTCCTTAGGCACTGATCATTTTTTTTTGTACTATGTTTTTACTAATTTTTGGAGTTACTAAACTCTCTTAATACCAACTATTTGGAATGTGCACGCGAACAGAGCTGTAGATGTTATTAGTCCCAAACTAGGCACACAGCTAAGCTGTTTAATGGATGCCTCTGATGGTGGCTACAAATTACATAATTTTATTGAAAACACAGAAGTGTTGTTTTTATTAAACACAACATATATTATTTTTGCTTTTTCCTATTCTTCCCATGATTTTAGCTTTGTGGTTAGGTGATGCTTTTTTAAAGAATTTCTGCTTCCTGATAAATGCTAGTTAGGAGTCGAAAGTTGGCTTAAATTTGAACATGGATAAGATTTAATGCGCTACTCTAGGTAAAAGGGTATGATTTTTGTAAACAGGGCTATAAGCCACAACTAGAGAGGTAATTTTTTTTTAATCTTTCTATTGGAAGTCTCCTGGGCACTCAAGGATGTTTCTTATTTTTGAAGGCCTTGGATGAGAGAAGCCAAAGTGTTGTGCAACACTGGGCCTTGCCTGGATCCTTGTGCTCCTCTTTGCTGTGAGATGTCTGATTGATGTGTACAAAGGGGTGGCTCCCTGAAGGTGTGGGCTTGTGTCTGTTCTGCTCTTTATTATCCCCAAGGTCCTAGAGAGGGGACGTGATATATGTGGAGGAATTGCACATATACCTTCTTGAAGGTCTCAGAATAAACTCTTCTATATGTGCATGGCATGTTTGTTATGTAGTAAATAATGTGTTATATATATTGATATATTGTTATACATATGATTTATATATGAAATATTTTAATATGCCTTATATACACAATATTTTCTGGCTAAGAAACTTTATTTTCTTAAGCTTCTTGGATTTTTAAAACCTTTCTAACTAGAATATTGGATAGTGTTTTATGTTTTCCAAAGCGCATCCATTTTGACAAAGACAGAAAGCACTGGGATTCTCTACCTGTCACTGTGCTCAAACTCATGAGTGAAGAGCATCTGTGTTAGTCTGTTTTTTGTAACTGTGACTAAAATACCTGACAACAACATCTTAGAGTCGGAAAAGTTTATTTTGGCTAATAGTTTTAGGGGTCTTAGTCCATAGTTGGTTGACTCCACTGCTCTGGGAACAAGGTAAGGTGGAAGGGAAATGGCAGAGGAAGACTACTTAGCTCATGTCAGCCAGGAATCAGAAAGAGAACATGCAAGAAGCTGGAGAGAAAATATATAATTTCTTACACACACACCTGGTGAAAAACCTCCTGCAACCATGCCCCAGCTGTCATCCAAATTATTAATCCATCCAGTGGATTAATCCTCTAGATTAGTTTATATCTCTTGCAGTCAAATCATTTCATCTCCTGTATTAGCACAGGAGTTTTAGGGGAACACCTCATATCCAAACCATAACAGCATCAAAGCTTCAAGGGGCAGAGCTACCATCACAGGCTCCTACCAGCAACCCTATCAGCATAGCAGTGGGGTGTCTGCAGTGATTCAGTCAGTGTCTCTGCAAAGTTGCAAATTGTTAAAGATCATGGAACTTCATAACTTCACATGAATAGCTTAAACTAAGTGATTCCAAAATGGAATTCAAGTTACTCATTTGCTATATTTGTTTTTCATGTCAAAATTTAGAAATTAAAGATATTATAACATTTAACATGTGCATTGACAATAGTATGTACACACAATTCTCCATGTTGGGTGTGGATGCTCATGGTTATTTCTGATAGAGAGTCATGAAATGAGTTTGGAGACACTGAGTTGTTAAAAGCAATCTTCCTGCCATTTTCATGGATTTTTAGAGATGCATTCTTAATTACTATGCCTCTGCCTTTCATGATCTTTGATTTATCCATATCCTTGTATCAGACATGTATATGTTACCAAGAGGCGCTTTCTGGCCCTTTCACCAGTATTTATATAGGACAGATATATTTTCATGAGGGAAAAACTGAAGCCATTCTTTTTCATGGCGAGACATTGTATTGTATAGAAAAACAATTCTACTGTCATAGTTAATAAAAAGTGCTCTGGAGCCAGGTTTAAGTCCTAAATGTGCAGCTTCCTGGCTATGAGACTTGGAAAGTTACTTTATTTCTGGTGCCACAAATTTTTAATTTCTAAAATAAGGCACAATAGTATCCAAACTGATTTGCTTATTCTAGTGATTATATTAGATGATATATGGTGAAGTCTGTAGAACCATGTCTAAACATAAAAGTTTGTACTAAAAGTTGGCTTTCTTGTGCTTATGTGAATGGACTTCCATATATAGGTAGTATATTTTATATGTGTGCACGTATATGCATAGAATGGAAATTATAACTGGTTTGAGCAAGTTGAAGATCCAGCCAAAGGATAAAATCCTACTATTATAAACAATTACTAAACATTTCTAGGAACTTTTCTAGACTTTCTCTAGCATCAGCGTATAGTACCTGATATTACACTTCCTGCAGCCTAGACTTGCAGAAGGGCTTCTCCACAACTCACTGTCAAAGGACAGACTAACACCATGTTTTTAGCTAAGTTTTACTCTGAGGTTTGTGACTGTCCTAGGGGATTTTATTCAGTCTGCCATAGGCTTAAATTTTTGTATCTACAGTTCTGTTATGTGTGTAAGTTATGGATCATATATGGATAATGGCCAATGTTAGATTGGGGGGCCTTAATGGATGCATTTATCAGGATACTTTTGTCAAAATTATTCCAGTTTTTTATATATGCATTTTTTAATTAATTATTTGAATTAGGTATATATTACAACAGAATGCATTCTGATTCATTTTACACAATTGCAGCCCAAAAATTATTCCAGTTTTTAAAAAGCAAATTGGGCATTTAGACAAATAATTCAAATATCAATTCTTCTATGTTAGTTTTAATTTTTAACTTCAGAAATTCTATTATATACTGGGTGGGTGGGGACCTGGAGTTTTTGTTGCATTGACTGAAACTTAATTGGACATAAATTACTCATTTTATAGTTGGGAATCAACAAGAACACTAGGTGAAGGCCTCATAGAGATGTCCTGTGGCAGCAGGGTTATGTCAGGTTATGATGCACGTGTGACTTCAGGGGACATGTTTTAACTTATTGCCTATTCAAATCCATTTGGTAGGGTAGTACTAATTTTGAACTATTTTGGATTTGTTCTTTATTATTTTTAACTCTCAATTTAGAGTTTTGATCTAACTGGTTTAGGATCTCTTACACACTCAGATTTTTTTTTCCCCAACACACGTATTTTATTGGTTTTGGTTGTCTTTGAAGTAGATAAATTATAATAATGAATTGAGAATTAAATTGAGGGATGGGATCTGCTGGAATTGATAGTGGTGATGGCGTCAGACATGGAAAATAGTTTCTTTCCTAATAATTATTTCTTTTTTAAAACTCCATTTTTCCATTGATACATAGAAATATAAAAATTGTGCATATTAATGGAGTACCATGTGATGTTTTGATGCATGTATATATTGGGTAGTATTTAAGTTGAGCTAAACATATTTATTTCCTCAAATATCATTTCTTTTTGGTGAAAACTTTCAACATCCTTTCATCTAGCTTATTGAAATGTATAAGACATTACTGTCCTCTATAGTCACTACAGTACAATAGCACACTATAACATAGTACCCATTGATGAACAATTTCCCTCCTTGCTGTCCTCTGGTAGCCACTAGTCTGCTCTCAACTTCTATGAGATCAATGTTCTTAGATTCCACATGTGAGTGAAATCATATGGTATTTGTCTTTCTGTGCCTGGCTTATTTCATTTAACATAATGATCTCTAGTTCCATTTATGTTGCTGTAATTGGCAGGATTTTCTTTTTATGCTTGAAAAGTATTCCATTGTGTATAGGTACCACATTTTCTTTTCCCATTCATCAGTGAATAGGATTGGTTAATTTCTCGGTTATTGTGAATACTGCTGCAATGAACATGGTGCTGCAGATGTCTCTTTGGCATAATGATTTCCTTTCTCTTGGATATATACCCAGTCGTGGGATTGCTTGGATCATATGGTAGTTCTGTTTTAATTTTTCAGCGGAATCACTATACTATTCAGTAATTATTAGTACTTATCCAAAAACAGTTTGAAATCTTCACTGTTCACTCTTATGAAAATGATGTGTGTTGTTCATTTATTTATGATTTCCTTAGGTATAAATAGATATTGCTGGATGAATATGAATTAATTTTGACAATGGCTTTGTCTCTCTTACCAGACAAACTCTTTTGAGTTTGATTAAAGTCTTACTGTGAAGCATACTGTAATTCCCTTGTATTTTATGATAAATCTCTCATTTCTTTTTTTCCTCTTAGTCATTGAGAGTTATCGGGAAGTCCAGG